TATAATGAGATCTTTGGTGGTGTCCAGACCCACAGGCCAGACAGAACAAAAAATGGTTTTATTTAAATCTTAGAAGTCACCATAAACTATTACATAAATTAAAAATGTATAGACTGTCCAGTGTCAGATAATATTGGGCTTCTTTATTTCCCCCCCTCCATTATGTGTATTGTTTTTATGTGTTCCTGAATAAAACACACAGTTAAGTTTCTGATCTGGGGTTTTTGCTGGTTCTATGACTGCAATAAAGGTGTCTAACCATCACTAAAGTGTTTTTCTATGTATGTGCCAAAGAGTGATATCCAACTGGAGGATGCATTTTAAGGAAATAAGATATGCCATCAGTTTGTAAAAAGATATTAAAACACTGAATGTATCCTGATCCAGCCTTAAGGCTAAATATTTGAGAGGATTCATTAATCACAGGATGGAGTCAGTACAGAGGGTATTATTAACAAATAGATCTGCCTTTTTAAAAGTTAACCATAACTTTAAATTGACCATTTAATCTTGACTTTCCTTTGCCAGTTTTTCAGAAGAGCTTCAAGAAGAACAATTGCCTAATGGAATTTTTCTGGCTCTTCTTATTGTTCTATTCCTTCAGTCTAAACAGGTTCAGAAGAAGAAGATTATCGCAGTGCTAATTAAAGCAGTTTACCTGATCCAGCTTAAAATTTAAAATGGGCGGAATAGTGATATTATCACAAGGATTTTGCCACTGAAATTGCCACTTGGTTGCAATTCAGGTCCATCCCCATTCTCAGGGCCACTCTGGCAAATATTTTCTCAAGCCAGAAACCTCCCAGCTTAAAAAAAAAAAGCCATGTGGCCTTGGGAGTGGGAATGGACCCAGGCTACATCTAGCAGCAAAATCCTTGTGATAACATCAAGATGCTGCCCGTTTTAAATTTTAAATTGAATGTCCCCGTGATTCATCTGTTAAAAGCCACAGAATTCTTTGCACAGCAGTTTCCCTCATGCTAGAAAACTCTTTTTCAGAGCAAAATATGGATTTTAAATTCTCTCTTTCTCTTCTTTAAACAGAGAGCAGCCCTTCTACCACCCTTCATGGATGGGAGAAGTCTCTGATGGTTAGAGAGAGCCTGAAGGAAGGGCAGGTTATCTGACAGACCAAGCTGAATACCTTGCAGTGGTCCCCAAATTGCCCATTAAGGGATTTTGGACTTCAGCTCCCATAATCCCAGACTATTGGCCAAGATGGCTGAGGCTTCTAGGAGCTGAAGTCCAGAATCCTTGAAAGGGCACAGTTTGGGGATCTCAGCTACTTAAAGCACCCAGATTATCTGAATTTTTTTTTAAAAAAAAATCACTATCCTAGAGAAGGAAACTAGGAACTTCTCCACACAAAGCACTCCCTTTGTCCCCAAACTATAGTCCCTCCTAGGGCCTTTTTAAGTCCATAATGCTTTGAACATTGGACTAGGACAGGGTTTAAGTCCCTCTCAGCTGTATGAAACCAACTGGGTGACCTTGGGCAAGTCAAACTCTCTCAGGGGAAGGAAGTGGCAAAGCTCTTCTGAAGAAACTTGCCAAGATACGTTCACCTTAGGGTAGCCATAAGTCGACCCCAGCCTCAGCATTTTACTGGAGGGCAGCAGCTTTTCCCAACCTGGGCTTGGAGCAGCCCTTCTGCCACCCTTCCTGGCTGGAAGAAGTATCTGGTGGTGAGGAAGGGGAGGAGGAGGAAGAAGATGCTCCCAGACATGAGAAGGCTGCAACGGCCTGCTGTTTGGATGGGGTGGGAGGTTGTTTTTACCTTCCAAAAGTCTGTAGAGAGGGACGGACAGCAGGAGGGAAGAAGGGAGAGAGAAGGAGCTGGGCAGAGATCATTTTTTGCCCCCCCCCCCAAGAAACTTGACAAGAAAACTTCATAATAGTTTTGCCTCTTAGGGCCAGCATCAGTCAGAAACTATTTTTGAAGGCATACAACAACAATGGTCCATGGCAAGGAGGGACAGGGGTGTGGGATGATTGTGTCCCCCCCCCTTGGGTTGTCACCCAATGTGGTCTGCACACATACACACCCCAAATCCCCCTAGAGATGCTACTGATTTATAGTGGAGAATCCAGACACAGACCTATATAAGATGTTGTGTATGAGAATGTCAGTTCTTATTCAAAACCTTGTGGGTTTAGAGATGTGGTGGTTTTAACAATGGCCATTGGGGGACAAAGGGAAATGGAAGGTTGTTGCATAAAGCCAAAGAGAGTAGATAACCATATGAATGAGTATTGGAATGTAGTGTGGGAAACAGAGAGGGGATATGAGTCAAGGGCAACCTCATGAAGATGTGAGTAAGTGTTAAAATGTGTGTAGTGTGCCAGGAAACCATCTGTAAACTAAAGAAAGGAGGGGAGAATGTAAGGAGATGAAATAATAAGGAAGGGACAAAAAGAAGGCAAGAGAAAGGTTATTGGTTGGATGCATGAAAAAAAGTGGTTTGCAAAAATTCATGCCTGTATCTTTCTCTCCAAAACTCAAAACAGGGGCCAGGAAGGATAAATGCATGGATGGTATTTTTCACATTAATTCTGGTAATGATTTTAATGCAGACACTTTACTTATTTTTAAATAATGATTTAAAATAAATGTAATAGTCAAGCCCTCCATTCAATATGAATGCAATTAAATTAGACTTTTCAAGCTTGTTAATGATTAGCCAAATGTATTAACTCATTTCTATTAACCTTTCTGTCTCCAGTGAGTAAGGCATTTGACAGAACACATTTTGATAAATAGTGTATGTGTGGAAGCAGGGTGATTCTAGGGTGAAAGCATTGCAGAAGGGGTGAGTAAATCCTTCCTTCTTCTCATGTCACAGAAATATTGCTTTGAAAAATGTGCTTTAATGTAAAGTGCAGTAGTTTCACTTGATTTACTAGTTCACATCATTTTCTCTAGAAATTATGTGTGACTGCTTGCTGTGACAGAAAACATGCTGTGTGATCATGTCCTGCTATTTGAATTATCCAAAGTATCTGCCCCACAGATTGTATATTTTGCCTAATGTAAAGTTTCACATTCATATTTCTAATACTGATGATGCAAAACTTGATTCACATGTGAAACGTGCTTCGGAGATAGCATAAAAGAAATATTGAAAGTTTCAAAAGCTGAACAGCTACTAGAAGATTGGAAAATATAACACCACAGCCATAATTGCAATTTGTTTTAATAATCACATTTATTCATCACATTCACTAAATATCTGAATATCTTAGGAAATAAAGCACAGAACAAACTATATTTATATCCAGACATTATTATGACTGATGCCATTTATTCACAGCTTAACCAGACAGCCTTAGAGCCGACCTGCCAATGAATGTAACTCTAGCCTGGAGGGACATTACCTCACAGAATTTAATTCCTGCTCTTCCTGGAAGATTAATTCTGGAGTTTGCTGGAAGGCATTTTCCAATTGGTGGAAATCTCATGCATTTCTCAATGGAAATTACTAAACATATGTGAAAGTTTCAAGGTGCTAGACCATTTTGTTAAACAAAGGAGATTAGTTTTAGTGCAATGGGGTACCTTTCCTGTTCTTTTCTTCTCTCTTCCTTCTCCACATCTATATTCTGAGTGTTCACTATTCTGAACCATGAGTATAAAGTGTTATACATATGCACTTTATTTTTCTGAGAAATGTCAATGATCAGGAGCAGCTTAGGGGGAAGGTAAAAGTGGTGTTGCCCCCCCCCCAAAAAGTTGCCCCTTTTCACCCTCCTCTTCATTTCTGGACTCTTGTCACTACTTGAAGGAAGGCAGTTTTCACATATACAAGAGTATTCCTATATTATCATGTGTGGGTGCTCAGCATGAGCACAGTGTGGCTTCTGAACCCCTTTATGCAGTACCCCAGGCCCTCCAATTTTATTTTTTTAATGAAATTTGACATTATTGCTTGCTTCCACAATTCAATAGCACACTTCTAAATGCAAATGAGAAAATGAACTATATAGTCAACAGGACAATGGGACAACCAATACTATAGTCAATATCATACACAATGTAGTTCCTTTTGTTTCATATCCATATTGTTTAGACCAGAATTTTTATTACCATAATCACATTAGTTTGTCAGTTTAAGTACATATAGATAAGCCTGAAGCAGAGAGATTTAATAATTAATCAAGTGTGAGTGGAGGGTTTCATTTGTTAATAATATGTGGAGTCATTTTAATGATTAACAGTAAATTTATAACATTAATAGCAACGTTCAATGAAGATCTTTATATAAAAAAAATCTTCACAGCCATTTTAAATGTATTTTTCACTGTTCTGCAAATTTATTTTAACTCTTTTAAATGCTTTTTAAAATATGGTCCTTGAGCATATGGTCAACCTGAAAAGTGACTCCAGAACTGCAGGAGTTCTCCATCCTTAATGTAAGTCTTTATGGTTCTGCTATCTCTCTTGAACCAAGAAAAGCTACACATTTTGTAGATACAGACATACTTCTCAAGAAACTAACAGGTTATTAAAATGACGCTGAAGAGAAGTGGAAAGGACCTGAGTACAGGAGAGAGAACTAATTGAAAAGGCATGGGCAAATGTATTACAGGGGTAAGGGCTTGAACCTCTGTTTTTTTTTTTTTTTTAAAGTTTTCCTTGTATCAGACTGGGTATTGAATACTGCTTCGTTGTGGAATCATAGACTTGTCTATACCCCACCCACCCCACCCTCTTTTCTTGAGCTGCCTTCCCAGGATTAATTGTTGCTCCATTTGACTTCCAGGGGGAAAAATGGGAGTGGAATTTCAGCAACCCAAACTACTCAGGCTGGAGGCTGGAATAGAAGCAGGGCAAGCAGAAGTACCAGGTTTAACTTGGAAAAGTAATTTATTCATCACGTTCACTAAATATCTGAATATCTTAGGAATATTCAGTAGGCATGGAAAGAATATTCCACTCTTTTCCAGTAGGCATGGAAAGAATATTCATAATTATTTGTTCCAGTCAAGAGGAATAATAAACCAACTGTGTGGCATAGTGGTTTGCATTTTGGACTATGACTCTAGAGATCAGGGTTCAATTCCCAGCTCGGCCATGAAATCTGGGTAACCTTGGGCAAGTCACATAATCTCAGTCCCAAGGGAAGGCAAGGGCAAACTGCGTCTGAACAAATTATGCCAAGAAAACCCCATGACAGGTTCACCTTAAGTTTTCCATAAATCAGAAACAACTTGAAGGTGCACAGTAGCATTAAGAATTTTGCCATTTTCTTCTGGTTTTTAAACATCTTAAGTATTTCCTTTCACAGAATAATTGCTCTGCAGTATTTTGAAGTTTTCAAATACAGGGAGAATACTGTGGAGGGATATTCATTTTCTCCTGCAGTCAGGAGAACACTAACATAATTTTTCATAATTATTGAATCATGGATTTACATCCCAATTTCTCCAGACAGCAGCAGATGCCCTTCCTTTCCCTGCATGTAGGAAAGAAATAGAAGTAGGTGCCCCCTGCCATCCAAGAAACTGTATGTCTTATACTTGGCAGAGCTTGGGTAAACAGCCCCATGTACACATGGAGCTGCCAGATCCCTTCAGTTTCTGAACACTTATCTGAGATATCCTTCTGGTAAAGGAATGAAGAGTTCTAGAAAACCCAGAAAATTTTCTTGCTTGACAGCAGAAAGATCAAAAAAATATAGTAGAGGTTGTGCTTAGGGACCAGAAGCATTTTGGATTATGATGATGATAACTGGATTTTGGAATATTTGAGTATACATAATGAGATGTCTTGGAGTTTGTACTCACATTTAAAAATGAAATTCATTTTTGTTTCATATGCATCTTACACATATAGCCTGAAGGTAATCGGATAGAATATTTTAAATTATTTTGTGCATGAAACAAAGTTTGTGTACATTGTGTAAATTGAACTTGTGGCATCATGTTGGTGCTCAAAATGTTTTGGATTTTGGAGCATTTTGGATTTCGGATTGTTGGATACTCGGCCTATATTGCAAAACAAGAATGAATTTAGACTTGCAGATTGGAAGTCAGGAGCATAAAACATGAGTTGATGTGCTTGAGAACAGGCTGGGCCACACAGGCAATACTTGACTGAAAGGCTGAGTAAGTGGGACAGTTTCTTTAATCCCAGTTCCTCAACCTCTTCTGCTCTTACAGTGTAGTCTTCCTGTCCATGTGTATTACTCATAGTTAAGGAAGCACAAACTACAAACATGTAACACAGAATCTAATTCTATAAATACACAAGAAACAGAAATTGGTTTTGGTTGTTTTTATCATAGCAGGCATGGGCTGGAAGAAGTGTGGCTGTGAATCAAAATGGGACATTCTTAAATTATCATTGTATTACAAGGCTAGCTCCATGAGGAGAGATCTATTGATAGATCTCTCCTCATGAATAGCAACAAATAGAAATGAAGACATAGGATTTTTAACCACTTGGTCGAGCAGGATGAATATCAAAAAATCAAAATATTAAGAGACTGTAAATGATTAAAGACAAAAATGTAGAAAAATAATAGAATATGAAAATACGAGAGTTATAGAATATTAATATAGTAAGCTAGACTTTCCTTTTTATACATTGTATATATTGAAGGGAAAGGACAAGTTTCAATGGAAAGGTGATTACAGGAAGTCAATAATATTAAATACCAAACTGTTACTCAATGGGAAGGAAGTTGGTAAGGAATGAAGCTCGAAATAGGAAGAATGTAAAGTGGGCATGAGTAAGTGTAAATGGTAAGAGGATGTGAGAAGGTGATAGTAAGTAAAAAAGAGAGAAGGAGAATGCAGAAGCAGGAGTAGATTAAAAGTAAGGGTGAAGACGGAATAGGGTGGTATTGTAAGAAATAGATGGGAGGAGAGAGGAAGAATGGTAAAAAAGAACAAAGGAAGAGGAAAATTAGAAGGCTAAGATGGAAAAATGAGAAGAAAAATCCCATTGAGTGTTAACAGCTTGGTTATGTGCCATATAAAAAAGAAGAAGAAGAAGAGAAAAGGAAGTTGGGAATGGATAGAAAAGAAGGGAAGCAAGGGAGAAAATAGGGGGGAAATGATGTTAAGGAAAACAAGGAATGGTGACTGAGAGAAACGAGGAATGAATGTAAATGACAAGTTAATTTTATTCTATTATTGTGATATATAATATCTTAATGAAAAGATTCTGGGTTGTATTCCTCTACAATAAGATAACTTGAAATATAGATACACAAGAGTGTATAAGTATGGGTTAACATACTTATGCATATACTCCTTCCTTTCTTTTCTCCGTATAACCTTAGAATTAATGCCTAAAGAAGTATTTTAGTTTGTCGAAGTATGAAACCTTTAGCAAAAGATTAATTGGTATGTATGTTGTGTAATGTTGATTTTATTAATAATTTTTTTTAATAACAAAAAATAAATAAAAATAAAAAACCCCAAGGCTAGCTCAATTAAAGAAAGGAACTTGAGGCAGTATATCTGATTCTTTCTCTTTTCCTTACATTAAAACAGGTGACAAGAAACCTATGTTTGTAACTATGTTGTGCAGATTACATATTTCCTTATATGTTTGATGCCACTGCTGTGTTTGGAAATCAGATATAAATGGTTATAGCATGAAAAGGTGCTTGTCTAACTTTAAAACATAATAGATATTAACATGTGTACAGAGAACAAATATATTGGTGCAATGTTAAATTTATATTAATATAGGTAACTTTTTGTGAAGACAAATTAATACCATCTAAAAATGAAGCAAGACAATTGTTCTGTCTCTTATATTAATTGTGCAATGTGGTTTGTTTGGTGTTGGACTCAATCCAGAATGTCCATATGGTGTTGGGCTCAGTTCAGGGAGACCTGGACATATCTATACAAAGCTTTCAGAGTGACCTTGACTCAGCTACCAACTTTTGACATAGCCTACCTTGAAAGATTGTTTTTATGAAGATGTGTAAGCTCCCTGAAAGAAAGGATAAAAACAAAATGGGTTTCAGTTGCCAGTCTTCTAAAAACAGCCCTGGCTATGGGCATCATACAGAACCTGGAGTGAGGAGAGAGGGAAGTCTGCTGAACAAGCTTGAAGGGGAAAGAGAGAGAAGCAGCTGACTAGGTTGGATTGCACTGCAGAAATAATCCAGTTTGACACTACTTTAACTGCCATGACTGAATGCTATGCAATCCTGGGGTTTGTAGTTTGTTGTGGCACCAGAGCTCTCAGACAGAGGAGGCTAAATGTCTCACAAAACTATAATTCTCAGAATTCCATAGCATTGAGCCATGCCAGTTAAAGTAGTGTCAAACTGGATTACTTCTGCAGTGTGGATGCAGCCTACGCAATCTGCAAAAGGTAAAGAGTTTTTGTATAGCTCTTGAAAGTTGTGAACATAGATAGAGCTTCTTACATTAATGAATGTAGATCATGGCTGAAGGAAGACATTAAACAGCTGTATTTTTTTTACACACTCTTAAATAGTCCAACATAACTTTTGAAACATTTCATGTCATAACATACCTAAACAATTGAGCATTGCTTGGAAAGACAGTATATTTTTGATAGGCATGAAAAAAACATGCTTATTCCCTATTTAGGCAGTTTACACACAAGTAAATCATACACACAAGAAATGTTGTGTGGATTATATCTGTTGTGAAAGCTGAAAGGCACTCATTTCCATCTGCCCAAATATATCAAAGCTATCACTTTATCTGCTTTGTGTCTGTCAAAATAAATCCTAAGCAGCCAAATATTCAGTGACAGGAAATACATTTAATAAACTACCATTTTCTGGAGCATTTCTGCTAATCTGTCAAGCTAAGACAGGGAACAGCTTTTTCACCAATCATGAATAGCCCATACCAGCATTTGCTTCAGCTTCCTCATTATTCTAGTTCTGATGATATGTTGAATGGCACCCAAATATTAGTGGTGATTTGTGCAGTAGAGCTGGCTGCTTCAAAACAAAAGTGTGTCAAATGACTGGAATTATCTAGCTGGTCTATAGCTCTTCTTACGTAACTTGCATTAGACTTGTGAGTTTAGAAAGCTTCATTGGAATGTTGCCAAGCTTCAAGAATTCAGTGGTATTTTAAAAATCCACTGTGATCTTAGCTGATAACATAGAGGGGTGTGTGTGTGTGTGTTTGTGTTTTTTAAAAAAATCATTTTCTGCTGATTTTTCAAATCAAAAGGAAAAGAGGAAAAGATGCCTTAGAGATTTCATCAGATTGCAAAGTGAAATATACATTTTCAGACATACCCTTTCTAACCAGCTGCTTTCAAGCTTGATTTATATAAGCAGACAGCTTAAGTCCCTGGACTATATCTTCTGCACCACCACCACAGTTTTCCTCTCATTTTTTTTCCCACACAGCCCTATAGCAACCAACTTGTGGGGGAGCTTAGCAGATTGGCAGTAGCCTCAATGCCTGATATACTATGTTGTAAATATGTTGGTCTTCAACATAATGTATAAAAAGCCCTACTAGATCAAACCAAAAGTGAATTTAGAACTTCACCTTTTGTCACTATTTGTTTCAGTTTTTCAGGATTTTATTCCTCTTCTTGAAGTTCAGATACAGGTGTCTTTTCACTACATCATCAGTGAAAACTGCTGAAATCAATAGGAGATGGCCTCCCCATTTGACAGGTAGTTTTGCCTCAGCATGCTGCTGTACAACCAGTGTTTTGGAGGAATAGGATAGTGAGGAAAAGGGAAAAGAACAGGAGGAGAAGGAACAGCAGAAGTTGTGGCACCTATGGCAGCTTCTATTGATGTCAGTGGAAGGTAAATGCCATGCCAGGTGGGTTGTCAGCCAAGTGTTGCAGCTGCACAGTGAAAGGTCAGCTCTCTCCATATGTCACCAGTAGCCCCTCTACCCCATCCCCATCACTTCCTGTACAATTCTCAGGAAGACATCCTGTATTAAACAACACTAAATCACATTCAGCTGAAGGTTTTGCTTGGCATGAGATACCACAAAGGGCAAAAGAGTCTCTGTGGTGTAATGGTTTGGGTGTTAGACTAGGGACCTTATCCCACGCTGCTCTCAAAAGTGGCAAGAAACCGATATGAGCATCATT